TGTTGGGTGCCCATTGAGGTAAGTCTTGCTGTGTTGTGTTGGGTGCCCATTGAGGTAAGTCTTGCTGTGTTGGGTGCCCATTGAGGTAAGTCTTGCTGTGTTGGGTGCCCATTGAGGTAAGTCTTGCTGTGTTGGGTGCCCATTGAGGTAAGTCTTGCTGTGTTTGGGTGCCCATTGAGGTAAGTCTTGCTGTGTTGGGTGCCCATTGAGGTAAGTCTTGCTGTGTTGGGTGCCCATTGAGGTAAGTCTTGCTGTTTTTGGTGCCCATTGAGGTAAGTCTTGCTGTGTTGGGTGCCCATTGAGGTAAGTCTTGCTGTGTTGGGTGTGCCCATTGAGGTAAGTCTTGCTGTGTTTTGGGTGCCCATTGAGGTAAGTCTTGCTGTGTTGGGTGCCCATTGAGGTAAGTCTTGCTGTGTTTTGGGTGCCCATTGAGGTAAGTCTTGCTGTGTTGGGTGCCCATTGAGGTAAGTCTTGCTGTGTTGGGTGGCCATTGAGGTAAGTCTTGCTGTGTTGGGTGCCCATTGAGGTAAGTCTTGCCATTTGGGTGCCCATTGAGGTAAGTCTTGCTGTTTTGGGTGCCCATTGAGGTAAGTCTTGCTGTTTTTGGTGCCCATTGAGGTAAGTCTTGCTGTTTTGGGTGCCCATTGAGGTAAGTCTTGCTGTGTTGGGTGCCCATTGAGGTAAGTCCTGCTGTGTTGGGTGTCCATTGAGGTAAGTCTTGCTGTGTTTGGTGCCCATTGAGGTAAGTCTTGCTGTGTTGGGTGCCCATTGATAGGTAAGTCTTGCTGTGTTTGGGTGCCCATTGAGGTAAGTCTTGCTGTGTTGGGTGCCCATTGAGGTAAGTCTTGCTGTGTGTTGGGTGCCCATTGAGGTAAGTCTTGCTGTGTTGGTGCCCATTGAGGTAAGTCTTGCTGTTGTTGGGTGCCCATTGAGGTAAGTCTTGCTGTGTTGGGTGCCCATTGAGGTAAGTCTTGCTGTGTGTGTTGGGTGCCCATTGAGGTAAGTCTTGCTGTGTTGGGTGCCCCATTGAGGTAAGTCTTGCTGTGCCCATTGGGTGCCCATTGAGGTAAGTCTTGCTGTGTTGGATGCCCATTGAGGTAAGTCTTGCTGTGTTGGGTGCCATTGAGGTAAGTCTTGCTGTGTTGGGTGCCCATTGAGGTAAGTCTTGCTGTGTTGGGTGCCCATTGAGGTAAGTCTGCTGTGTTGGGTGCCCATTGAGGTAAGTCTTGCTGTGTTGGGTGCCCATTGAGGTAAGTCTTGCTGTGTTGGGTGCCCATTGAGGTAAGTCTTCTGATATATTTCAGCCTGTCATGGATTTAGGGCGGGGTGCAGCACCTGCCGGGAGGGGGGGAGACAACGGCGGACACATTGGGCAGGCGGGAGCAGAGCGTTGTCACCCTACAACAGGAAGTGCCTGCAGCAGGACCTTCATGGCGGGATCTTCGGGGACACAATTTTTGAGCCTTAAATCTTGTGTGAGATCTGATGGATCGACTTTTTACGGCGCCCTCGGCGCGTCTTCCTGACACCGCCCTTATAGACGCGCTCCGGCAGTTCTCCGCCGCAACGTGTGACGGACGTTTCCTAACGCGGGTCTCTGCGTGTGACGCGGCTTCTCACGTGTACGGCGCACCGCGGCGGAGGAACACCGAGGAATGTGCAGAGCAAGGGGATCCCGATGGAGAACGCGGCGAATATAATCCCCTTCCCCCCCCCAAAGTCCACAGCTGCTGCGGGGGGAAATGCGCTGGTGGCCATTTTTAGAAGTGGCGGCAGAGGACGGGGGGGGGGGGGGCAGAGGATGCGCGGGGGGGGGGGGGGGCAGAGGACGGGGGGGGGCAGAGGATGCGGGGGGGGGCAGAGGATGCGGGGGGGGCAGAGGACGGGGGGGGGGGGGCAGAGGACCTTGTCATAATATTCGCTTTACGAGTTTAAACCTTTAACCAGCCGAGCAGAGCAGAGCTGAGCAGAACAGAGCAGAGCCGAGCAGAGCCGAGCCGAGCAGAGCCGAGCTGAGCTGAGCAGAGCAGAGCAGGCAGAGCCAAGCAGAGCTGAGCAGAACAGAGCAGAGCAGAGCCAAGCAGAGCTGAGCAGAGCAGAGCAGAGCCAAGCAGAGCTGAGCCGAGCAGAGCAGAGCCAAGCAGAGCTGAGCAGAACAGAGCAGAGCCGAGCAGAGCCGAGCTGAGCAGAGCCGAGCAGAGCTGAGCAGAACAGAGCAGAGCCGAGCTGAGCAGAGAGCCGAGCAGAGCTGAGCTGAGCTGAGCAGAGCAGAGCCAAGCAGAGCTTCTCAACTTTTTTTCAGTGGTTGCCCCTTTAAGAGTCATAATATTCGCTTTACGCGTTTAAACCCTTTAACCAGCCGAGCAGAGCAGAGCTGAGCAGAGCAGAGCAGAGCAGAGCAGAGCTGAGCAGAACAGAGCAGAGCCGAGCTGAGCAGGGCCGAGCAGAGCTGAGCTGAGCTGAGCAGAGCAGAGCAGAGCCAAGCAGAGCTGAGCAGAACAGAGCAGAGCCGAGCCGAGCAGAGCCAAGCAGAGTGAGCAGAGCAGAGCAGAGCCAAGCAGAGCTGAGCAGAGCAGAGCCAAGCAGAGCCAAGCAGAGCTGAGCAGAACAGAGCAGAGCCGAGCAGAGCCAAGCTGAGCTGAGCAGAACAGAGCAGAGCCAAGCAGAGCTGAGCAGAACAGAGCAGAGCCAAGCAGTACAGAGCAGAGCAGAGCCAAGCAGAGCTGAGCAGAGGCAGAGCAGAGCCAAGCAGAGCTGAGCCGAGCAGAGCAGAGCCAAGCAGAGCTGAGCAGAACAG